TTTCGTATCAACACTGCAAGGTCGTGAAGAGTTTATATAAAGCTAACCACTTTTCAACATGCAATTTTGAAGTATAGTTTATATTATTAAATTAATGTTTTCAATAGCACAGAAAACCTAATATTTCCTAACCAACCCCTCTTTTAAATAGAATAAAGATAATGTGGCTTTGCTGGCATTCACATCAACCATGTCATAATAGGTCTGAAACAGTTTGCCGGGTTGGGTGGACCTTAAGTGGTTTTGCATTACAGCAGTAGTTAAGAAACCAGCTAGAGAAGAGTCTATAGTTTTAAATCTAGGTCATACTATCCTTATTCAAAAGCAAGCATAAACTAGACATTTATATTACTTCCTGAAAAAATGCTTTTTAAAAAAAATGGGGGTGGCGCTAGCTCAGTTGGTTAGAGCGTGGTGCCGACAACACCAAGGTTCAGGGTTCGATCCCTATACTGGCCAGCTGCCAAGAAAAAAATGTTTTTTAATAAAAAAGAGCATACACTAGTTGAAAAATATTAACGTTTCCTAAAAATGTATTATAAATAGGTAAATTGGTTTTTAACATCATTTATATTCCATAAATTAATATAAGGAATTTCTTCCTGTTATTCATAATCCACCAGCAAAATTAACACTAAACTACATTTAACTACACTTATACCAGAAAATATAAAATTTCTTGTGATCACTTTTAACCTAGGGGTGGAGAAAAGAGGAGAGGGATAAAGGCAAAGATGCAGACAGAAAGGAAATCTGAATTTTTTTCCAAATATAATATCCAAAAATATACAAAATAAATTAATAGGGAAAAAGATAGACAACTGATGAATCTAAGTGGTGGTATACATATGGTCACTGTATTTTTCTTCCTCCATTTCTACAAACGCAAAATATTTTAAAACACAATTTCCATGGTATCTCATAAGGTCAAGTATAGATTCAGTTCAGTCTCCTGTTCTACACTGCACTGTTAACTGATGTCTAAGAGGTGGTACAGCCAAAGGGGTAGGAGCTACCAGCTCTGGAGACAGATTGCCTGGATTCAAATCCCAATTTTGCAGTTACTGGCTGTGTGATCTTGAACAAATACTGTAAATGTACTAACTGTCAATTTCTTTGTCAGTATAGTGAGGATAATAGTCCTCAAAGGAGTTCCAATGAGAAATTACACGTAAAGTGCTTAACACAGGGCTTGCCCATAGGTAAATTCTGGATTACTACATTATCACAGTGACCAAAGGCTCTGATCCTGAGGGTAGCATCAGATAGGAAAAAAAAGAATAAGTGGCATTAAGTGTAAGTTTGGGAATATTTAGACTGCGTTATATTACATGCTAGTATGCCATCATACAATAACCTCTTCACAATCCTGAGGGTACAGAAAAAAATAACAAATGACATTACATAGAAGTTTTGGAATTATTCAGGTTGTGCTATAAGAAAAATCTGTAATCCATACTATGATAAGATCATGCAGAGCCTCTGGTCCCCATTACAATAATAATAATCATAATCCAACATTTATGGCATACTTTACTATGGGCCCGGCACAGTGCTAAACACTTTAATGTGTAGTTTCTCATTTGAACTTGTATGAAGCAAGAACTACTATTATTCCCATTTAACAGATGACAAAATTGAGGGTCAGTGTGTTTACATAATTTCCTCAAGATTATGAAGCCAGTAAATGGCAAAGTCGGAATTTGAATCCAGGCAATCTGCAGCCAAAGCCTGCTTCTGACACAAACTATCCACTTAAATTTGGGCAAGTCACCTCACGTTTGGAACTCTGATTTCCTCCTCTATAAAATGAGCAGAGTGGTCTGGAATAGGTCCTCCCAAAAGTTACTTCTCTGGACAACAATGCTATTTAAGCCAAAATTCGTTACATACAGAAAATATCTCTGCTCTAGTCTTTTCATGTACCTGGGTTCCCTGTCTTATATAAATATAGAATGATGCATATGTATAATTCTCCCAGTGGAATGCCTTATTGTTTTTGAGCTCTACTGCTGAAAGGTACATCACCAAGAGGCATCAGCCTGATAGAGAACCTCACTAGGTAGTTCTATTACTAAGTCCTTTCAAATGGAGTCCGAAGAGAACCTGATTCAAAATGAATTCTACCCTACAGCACTAGTGCTACAGTAAGTTAAGCACACATAAGATTAGCAGAGCTCTAGGACCTGAGTTACTCTACCTCTCAGGACCTCGGTTTCCTTATTTATAGAAATAAAGTGGCTTTTAGATACAAGTAATCCCTAAGGAAGCAGCCACCCCACCCCAGGGAAACCAATCAACTTTATTAGAATAAGGAAGCATGTATAGTTTGAAAAACCACATTCAAATACAGTTATTGCTTTTATAACATAAACCACGTAAGTAAATCTCCAAAAAAAAAATTCTATTGTGTTGGTAGGAACTGCAAAAGAGAATTAAGAAGCACTGCAAGGGGGCATGATTTTTTTTTTTTAAATATTAAGATACATCAGAGTAGATCACTATTGAAAGCTCCCATCAGTTCAGAGTCTGTTAAATAAAAAATAAAGTTGGTGTCCTATGAAATAAACTCTTCAATTTAAGAAAAACCATATTTTCCAAAATAATTTTTTTTAAAAAGTCATCAGAACTACTTATTTTCTTGCTTCTTTAGAAAAATGATTTATATAAATGCACAAACACAAAATTCTGCATACAGGACTTAAGGTGGCTTTTGTTTTTTAAAAATACTTGATATAGTTTATCAACACAAACCGAGCCTGATAATATTCCAAGTGAAAGCACAACCAAGTTACTCCTCTGACTCTAATATTGCTTTAAAACCCTAAAGCTCCATTTAAAGTAAGAAAATGGAATGAGACAAAGCACATGTGTTGCTGAAGCCAAATTAATAATGACTAATTTTCAATCAAATCTCTCCTCCTACAAATCTTCTGGCCATTTTTGCCTATTAAATAGTAGCATCAGGGATGAAAAGACAAGAGACCAAACTCATTCCACTATATTTGGCTCTTATTAGCATCACAGATAAATGGCTTGCTGAAAAACAATCCCCATACTACTAGTCAATAGCAGGTTTGGGGAAATTTTGTAGATTTAATCTCTCCCTAATCCCCATTTCAGGAGATAATTAATCAAAAGCTGGTTGTATTCAGATTCACCTCCTAGAAAAAGATAACTAACTAGATCTGTCTACATTATCAGCTCCCAACCCCCAAACCTCCCTATAATGTTTTAGGTTATCCTCTAAGACCAGACTTGGGTAGGGAGTGTCAGAATCAAAAGACAGCTTCTCCTACCAAATGCAGCCTCCATGCCCTTCCCTCTGAAAATAAGCACATAGATAAATTCCAGAAAGCGGATTCCTCTTTTTCTCTACCAAACTAACCCCATCTTGCAGCGTCTCTTAATTTTATTAAAATACGAACTGTAGAATAATGGGAAGAAATACACCTTAATATTAAAATCTTCCATTCCTGAAGGATCCTGTGAAAATTTGGTAAGATCCTCTCTCATTAAAAACTCGTATACACAATTTAGAGGTTTCATGGACTCCCGTGAAATGTCAAGGTTAAAAATCATTGCTGTAACCTAGAGAGTCATGTTCTTCTCAATAACCCACCTTCTCCTTCATGGATGGGAGCCAACCCAAACATCTGAAATGTAAAGAGCAACAAAATGAAGGCTCCAATTGCACCTGACACTTTAAACTACCTCTGTCAAACTGTCAGTTCTGCCATCTTTCAGCACTACTCAGCACTGCTCAAGGGATTTCTATTTCATTTCCTTGACCACCCAAACTGGATCTTGTCCAAAGCTCTCCCCTCTCCCCTTCTTTTTTAACTGAGCTTAAAATTTTATAGCAAAATCAGTTTGTAAGTGAAAGGTAAGTGCCTGAGAGCAAAAGCCCCCAGGGAACACACGCCCTTTACCACCCCTTTCTGACCCAAGATGCCCAGGACACTGCCAACTGCTGCAGCCATGGACTGGACCAGAAAGCAAGAACAGAAATAAGAACATTCTTCATTCAACCTTTTTGTCTGGGGCACTTCCTGGGTTTTTCACTGGCATTTAACACAAGACACAAGACTCATTTTTCATTAAAATTGCAAGACTTTCACTGCTCAGTTTCAAATGGTGTAACTGATCTGCACTGTCTTCTTAAATAACCAAACTGATGAAGGACACTGCAGCTTTAAATATTTCAGTGCTAGCTAACAAATAGACTCCATTGCAATATGGCTCTGAAGGTCGCGTCCCATTGTCTCTTTTCTCTGAAAAAAAAAAAAAAACACACAAAAAACCCAATTTCTAAATCCTTATTCTAGGTAACATGGAAAGAGTTGCCCCTTGAATTTCCACTCTTCCATCTCTGCCCCCTACAGAGTTCCGGGTATTTACTGGAATCTCACACTCATACTTTTCCCGGCAGGGGCAATATGCTGATTGTTGTTAATGATTCCATCACCTTAGTGAGACATAAACACATGTGTTCACATTAGTTTAATTGAGCATATGCAACTGTCTGAAATAGCACCACTCAAAGGCTGTTAAGCTCTTTAAGAGTAAGGCCAGGGTGGTTTGGGTGTGGACGGCTTTCAGGCGGCACCCTGAGCCTGGGTTGCATAACGTGAAATGTGTAGCTACTTAAAATGATAGGAACCTCGGCCTGAGACTATGCCGGCACCTTGCCATACATCTGCAGCTTTACTTGTCAAAGTCAAAATCATAGACACAAGCATAGCGGAGGAGAAAATAACTTAAAAGAAAAAAGCCCTTTTCTACCCTGACAGGACGATTCCTCAAGCAGTCACAATGTTCCCCCAACCTTATCCCCCTGAAGGGAGCAGCCTCAGTGAACTGAACGCTTTGGAAGAAGAAGTGGAGCTGGACATTGCTATCCTTTTTAAAGAACAAAAACGGGTGAATAATTAAAAGTCAGGCGAAGAAGCAGTAAAAGAGGTAGGAGGAAGGCATGTACAGGTGCACCCGAGCATTACCTGAAATGGCAACAGATTGTTACCATTATCGGTCCGAAAAGCATTATCCTCCATCCAGGACTTAGAGGTGAGCGGGGCCGCGCGAGGGAACTTGGGCGGCGCGATCACATTGCTGGAGAAGGGCTTTTTGAGCGGCGAGATGGGGTTAAGCGGGGAAGGCACCCCGACACCTACGCCCACGCCCACGCCGACCGCCCGGCGAGGGTCCCGGCCCGCCTGCAGGCCGCCCCACGGGTTGGATGGTGCGCTCCAGGCGGCATTCACGCTTTGGTGCGTGTTCCAGCTGGACGAGGCCGATGAGGCGGCGGCGGCAGCGGCTGCAGCAGCCGAAGACGAGGACGGCTTGCTGGTCATGATGGGCTGGTGGCCGTACGCAGCTGCTGCGGCGCTCCTCTGCGCGTAGGGCGCCTGGCTGGGGCTGGCGGGCGACCGGCGCTGCTGCTGGGGCTGCGCCTGCGGGGGCTGCGCGGGCTGCGCCGGCTGAGGCGCCGGCGGCGGCTGCTGGTGGTGCTGGGTCTGGGCCAAGCCAATCTGCGGGGAGAAGGTGCCTCCGAAGACTGGGTTGACATGGTGCGGGAAGTTCTGGAAGAGCATGGTCCCGTTGACTGGGGTGATTCCCTGGAAGAAGCTGTCCTCCACCGCGTTCGTGGTGCCCGTGGACCAGGTGCTGCCGAAGGACGGTGACAGCGATGCGCCCGGCGCTGCGGGCTCCTGAGGCGGCGGCGGCGGCGGCTGCTGAGGGGGCTGATGGAAACTCAAGCCCGGCAGGAGCGGCGATTCCATCTGCATCTTGTCCGGGCCGTTGGGGGCCGGCGGGGCCGCTGCGGGGCTGAGGGCCGGCACTGCGCTGCTGTCCTCCGGCTTGGGGGTCTCTGAGGAGAGGGGCGTGGACGGGGCTTCGGCTGCGCTGGGCTCGGTCTGGGGCTGCTGCTGCTGTTGCTGCCGCTGCTGCTGGGGCTGGGTTTTGCTTTTGTCCATCAGTAAATCATCCTGCATGGTTTGCGCAGCTGAAACAGGAAAAAAGAGAGACGCGTTATTGTCAATGTGATCATTAATACCCCTCGCTGAAGCGGGCGAGTGTTTCACTTGCGAAAATCCAGTGCCACCGCTACTAGCCAATTGCAATGCAAATCCATAATCTCCCATTTAGAAGAACAGGTCGGCTGGGGGGAGGGGGGCTCGCGGAACGTCTCTAAAAATACTGAGAGCGTCTTCACCCTTTCTGATGTCTTGGCTTCTTTTCTGTATTAGTGAGAGAAGTGCTTATAAAACAGAAAGACAGCAATTTCGCCACGTCTCTTTTCCCTTCACCGGAACTCAGAGCGTTCGCCCTGCAATGAGAAACTGATTCTGGTTCCTGTTTTTTCCCAAGCACCTCCCTCCCCCAGTTATTTGCATACGTCAATAAATACTGCTGCGTCCTTCAGCAAGGTTAAAAAAGACACCGCACACACGACCCTTACTTCCCCCTATCCCAGCTCCAGCACTTTACAAAAAACAGCGGTCTTGATTAGCAAACTGACCTCTTGCTTGGTAATTGTTTCATTTAGCTGCAGCGAACCACGAGGGAAGAAATCCTTGGCATTTGTTAGGAGAAGGACTCAGCTGCACAATCATTCTCTGGCCTTCCAGTAGCTGCAGCTACTCCATTTTGTTAGGAGACATAAAACCACCGTTTTTAAAAATGTAAAAACCTACTGAACCGTTTGGAAGTGCTTGCTTCTTGTTACTCTAACGATTATGGTTTTATTGCTTATTCTCCAATTTTCATGTCTCCAGTTCTGCCGCACGAGAGATTTCCTGGCATCTCAGTGCTTCAGGTCTCAACAGGAGCCTGAGAATTTCTCTGCAGCGTGCAGAAATGCTTCTGGTTGTATTTGAGATGGCGGGGGGGCGGGGGGGCGAGATCGGAGGGGCTTTTTAAAAATCCCTCTGAGATTTAAGTAGACAGTCAAGATAATTCTGGGCTTGCCAGATTTTCATTTTTGAATCGTGCTGCTGCCTTGCCTTGAGCACAAGACTTTGGCAAATACATAGAATCCATTCTCTTATCACTAGTATTAGCATTAAAAGACTATGGTTTGAAGACCCTGAATTACCATATGCCAGCAAAAGTGTTAAAAATAGAGGATTACAAAGTCCCAAATTCTCACACATTGTAATTATAGTGCATTGCCATCACCGCTTCATTTAGCCATATAAGGAGTGTATGGTATTTTCCATTTCTCATAGGTCTATATTCACCTCTGCCATACAGCCTGTTTTCTTATTCAAGGATGAAAATAGTAATCACTCAAAAACAGAAGATATCCATACATGTAGTTATCCTTGAGTTAGCTTGTCCTTTAGAACATGTTAATTGCTTTAAATATGTGAATATTACAGTGCTGAGACCCTGAAAACAAACATTTTGAAATGTTAGAGGAGCATAAGACCAAACATATAATTATTTTTAGATGATTATTCAGTATAATTGCAACAAAGTTATTAATATATTTAATGCAGTTACTTAACTCAGATAGTTGGAGAAGAATCTTAGGACACTTGTGAAAAAGCATTCAGATACACACAGAAGCTCTGCCTTTGAACATCCTCATGACAGTAACTATCATAAAATAAATGTATTGGAAAATGGAGATATTGCCACTCTTAACTATTAAGCAAAAGATGTCAGACCAAGAAATGGGAGTAAAAGTAGTTCTATTTTATTAAAGATTATCATTAAAATGGTTAATTAATATATTTCATTTAAAAGCTTCATACACAAAATAGTGGGCTCAAGGAAATGCTTCACAGCCACTTTACTCTCCTTTCTGCTCCTCACTCCCCTGCCTTCCCCCTTAGTCCAGGAAAAAATCCAACTCAATATAATATACATCACAAATTTCCAACTACTACCAATAAACTCAACTTAAGACTGCTTTTATGTTCCTCAGTTCCCTTCGTCTGAAACAATGGCTTTAATCAGTATTGTAAAACACAACACAAAGAGGCATGCGAAGCTTGGATTCAGACAGCACAAAGTTCTACTGCTGCCAAAGAAGATGGTCATAGAAAGAGACATTTTCATACTTGGTTTAAACGGTGCTTCAGTAAACCATTATAATGTGGGATTTGAGTAGCTTCCAGTGAGCTTGAATTGTCTTTACAATAGCCATATCATCATGGCTGAAATAAGCATTTGATTATAATTTTAATATCACCCAGCTTTTCCGGTTACTTGTATCAATGCTTTTTGTTAATGCCTCCAGTTTAAACTACATGCTCTTGTGCTCTTAGTGGAAAAATTAATGCTTTATTACAGAAAAAAAAAAAAAAAGCCAAACAGTAAGCTGGACTCAGAATATTTTACAATGGCTCTAATTAATATGAAAATATTCATTGAATTTTTAAAATGTTATCCCTGGAACACCCATTTCTCTTCTCAATACTCCTTAAAGATATAAATTTCACTTTCTGCATAAATTCACTCTGTCAAGGTCAAAACCCACCTTTAATAAATAAGACCCTTTTAAACAAAAGAGCCATGGATTAAGATAAAATTCACAAAGTTAATAGGCACTGACTATCAGTACTGCTAGTATAGTTTGCTTTTTTGGGGGGGTTTTGCTTATTTATAGCAAAGTCTGAGAAATAGATACCTCCCTCCCCTCCCCCCACCACACACACAATAGATATGCTTTTACATGCAATAACCCAATTTCAAGTAACAAATTCTCAGTAGCAGTTACCTTTGAGTGTCCAGTTTTTATGGATCAATAAAATGAAAAAGTATGTGGTATTTATTTTCTTCTTTCAGGTTGATTATGTGACCGCTCTGGCAAAAGCACTTTGACAACTGTAAGAAGAGAGGGCATGCGCACACAGGGAACTGTGGGGACTGAAGTCCTTCACAAGGTACTCTGACTCCAGCACGTTCAGCCAGGAAAAGGAGGAAGCCTCGAAAATACAGATTCCAAGGGAAAGAGGTTGTGCCCAGATTACATTATATTCTCCTAACCAATCTAATCACAAGTTGTTGAAATGAAAAGTGGAAAAAATAAACTGGTTTGTCAGCTTGATTTAGGAAGCCAGGTTAAAAGAGAAACTGGATTGTACGACTCAATAAATAAACCCAGGAGAGCTACCTTAAATGGTATTAGTACGGTAATGACTGGGTAGCCAGCAATGGGAACACTACCAAAGAGGAAGAGATTAGGGTGAGGAGGAATAAGCAAGGGAGGAGGAACTACTACTGGAGAAACATAAATACTTAAGATCTGACCATACTTAAAAGAAACACTTTTCATATAGAATGAAAAATACCTTAATATAAAATGTGATATTAACTTGGAAGTCAGGTGAAAATAGGTTTCAGCCACAAATTTTTAACATTTTATCCACCAAGATTTCTTTGTATTTGAGTTTTCAATGGTGGGGTAAATCACTTAAGATTCTACGTGAAAAGCTCTGAATCAACCCATTTCCTTATTTTTACTTGTCAAAATGAAAGTTTACCTTGCATTATTCAAATAATGATTAATCAAATAAAATTCAACTCTTTTATACTATATTACTACTTTGTGAAAAAAATTTTTTTTCATCTTGACAGATGGCCAGTAAGGGGAAATAAGGAGACCTGAACCCGTGACCTTGGTATTGAACAGCTGTGCTCCAACCAACTGAGCTAACAGGTCAGCCCAGGTGAAATATTAAAAAGTAATTTGATATATTTAGTATTTCACTGCACAGGACAGTGGCTTCTTTATTCAAGACAAAAAGCAGTGTTATAACACCAAGATCAAGGGTTCAGATCCCTGTACCGGCCAGCTACAAAAAAAAAAAAGATACAGTTTCTATTTAAAAAATTTGTGTGTGTATGTGTATGGTTTTTCCTATTTTAACCTCATGATTCCAAGGTTGGAATCTCACAGCTTATCAACATTAGCTGTTATTATCTATAGCTTCTGAGAGCAATAGTTCAAGAACCGGTTTGCTCACATAGGCAGAAGATAATATTTCTTGTGGGATTTGGTTCAGTGCCATTCACCCAAGGGGTTCAGAGTAAATGTCAGTTGATGACTATGCTGATTGAACTTGGAACTGAAAATGTTAAGCATCATTTAAAACTGGCCTAATTTTCTATTTCTTTTCTTCACCAATTAGAACTATATTACCAGAGACCACTAATTTACAGCATTTAGTAGTCTTTGTTTCTAGTTATTTCTAAGGGAAAAAAAGCTCAACTAACAACTTAAGCAGAAAACGGTCATTTTTAATGAATGTGCCAAAAGATGTGTGCAAAATAACTAAATGTTTACTTATTCCTACTGTGACCTTAGCTTATATTCTCCATTTTTTCTCTTCCTCTATCCTCCTAAAGAAAGCTTCACTTCTGCCAAGGTACTGTACTCACCATTTGCATTACACAGTCTGCAAGGATCAACTCAACGTTAATTTTGTTCCCGAAGACTTGGCTAACCTATCAAACTTATTTTCAAGTACTCTTAGTGTTGGGGGGTGGGGGGGAGAGTTCCCTTATAAAACCCTTGCAGCTTTAAGAAATATTTGAAATTAGTATGTCAAGATTTTACCAATAAAGTAAAAATTTTCAAGTTATTCAGGTGTGCTTGAAATGGTTTTACGTGGCCATTTATTAATCCACCTAACCCCAAGTGGAGGTCTACTAATAATTTACACAATGGAGAAAGCTATGCTTTGGCTCTGACTCTTGGTAAATCATAATAAATAATGAGCACTGCCCATACTTAATGGAATTTTATTGTATTTGAAAATGAACTAATCTTGGGCCGGCCCGTGGCTCACTCGGTAGAGTGCGGTGCTGATAACACCAAGGCCACAGGTTCGGATCCCATATAGGGATGGCCGGTTTGCTCACTGGCTGAGCGTGGTGCTGACAACACCAAGCCAAGGGTTGAGATCCCTTACCGGTCATCTTTTAAAAAAAAAAAAAGAAAATGGACTAATCTCAAATTACTAATGCTCTGGCCAGTTAGCTCAGTTGCTTAGAGTTCAGCCTTATAACACCAACATCGAGGGTTAGGTTCCCTGTACTGCCTAGCAGCCAAAAAAAAAATTACTAAAGCTCAAATGTAAAAAGAAAATAATTCAAACATAAATATCAAGGTTGGGCCGGCCCATGGCTCACTCGGTAGAGTGCGGTGCTGATAACACCAAGGCCACAGGTTCGGATCCCATATAGGGATGGCCGGTTTGCTCACTGGCTGAGCGTGGTGCTGACAACACCAAGCCAAGGGTTGAGATCCCTTACCGGTCATCTTTTAAAAAAAAAAAAAGAAAAAAAAGAAAATGAACTAATCTCAAATTACTAATGCTCTGGCCAGTTAGCTCAGTTGCTTAGAGTTCAGCCTTATAACACCAACATCGAGGGTTAGGTTCCCTGTACTGCCTAGCAGCCAAAAAAAAAATTACTAAAGCTCAAATGTAAAAAGAAAATAATTCAAACATAAATATCAAGGTTGGGCCGGCCCATGGCTCACTCGGTAGAGTGCGGTGCTGATAACACCAAGGCCGCGGGTTCGGATCCTATATAGGGATGGCCGGTTTGCTCACTGGCTGAGCGTGGTGCTGACAACACCAAGCCAAGGGTTGAGATCCCTTACCGGTCATCTTTTAAAAAAATAAATAAATAAATAAATAAATATCAAGGTATAAATGCATACCAAGCAAACAAAAAATTATAGGAGGATCCTCGGCAAGGACAAAGCCCTTCTCTACTGAAATCCTATTTTTTATTTAACCAGAAAAGAGGTGTTTTCTGAAATTTTGTCTTCAGGTCACAGAGCTTAGTCACTAAAGGCAATAAAAAATAGAGTTTGCAGAGTTAACTCACTGAGATATACACAGATCAAATACATTTTTCTGAGCTTCCTTCCTTCTTTTCCTTCCCTACTTACATCTCTAGCTAAGTGTTTATAAGTCCTGAATAGTTGGTGGTTGCTCCATATATGCTTGCTAAATAAATTGATAAGTACACAGACAGATAAAACATAATTTTTTTTTTTTTTTTGTCTTTTTCCGTATCCGGCAACGGATCGCAACCCTCAGTGTCGCCCCCGTACCGGACCGGGGACCGGCAACGGGATCGCAACCCTCGGTGTTGCCCCCGCGCCCCGCTCAGCCAGTGAGCAGGAACCGGTCTGTATGTGGGATCCGAACCCTTGGCGGGAGCGCCTCCGTGCTTCCCAAGCGGCGCACTAGCGCAGTGCGCCACCGGGCCGGCCCCAAAACATAATTTTTGATTATCTAAAATAGCCAACGTTTGAGTAAGTATGAAATTATACTTCATTTAGAAGAGAAGTTACTTTTCAATCAGTAAGGATTGATATGAAGGGGAGTGATATAAAATAGAAAACCATTTTGGCCCTTATGATGTTCAATAGTATGCAGATAAAATAATTTAATCATAAAATAACATTAATTAAGCACTAATTTAACAGGGAACTTTGTTCCTATCTAAGAGTTTATGATCTAATAAAGACAAACACCCCACCCTTCCACACAGAAACTGCTTCTCCAAGGTCAAAATATCCACTTTGAAGGGTTTGTCAGTTTTTTTGTTGTTTTTTTTTAAAGGTGACCGGTAAGGGGATCTTAACTCTTTTTTTTTTTTTTTTTTTAAAGATGACCGGTAAGGGGATCTCAACCCTTGGCTTGGTGGGCAAGACACTTCAAAAAAGATGTTCAGGGATAGCTGGTTAGCTCAGTTGGTTAGAGCAGAGTGTTGATAACACAAAGTTCCAGGGTTCAATTCCTGTACTAGCCAGCCACCAAAAAAAAAAAAAAAAGAAGTACAAATGTCCAAAAAGCATATGAAAAGGCGCTCTACCTCACTAATCAACAAAGAAAGGCAAAATAAAACCAGAATGGCTAAAATTGGGAACAGCAGGCAATACCAAGTGTTAGCAAGGATGTGGAGCAATTCATTCTGTAAACACTGTCGGTCAGAGTAAAATTTAGTATAACTATACAACCACATTGCAAAATCGTTTAGCAGTATCTATTAAAGCCAAATATTCACACACCTTCTGACCCAGCAATCCAGCATCTAGATATAAATCCAGTATAGAGGCAAACATATGTTCAACAAAAGATTTGTTCAAAGCAGCATTATTCATAGTAGCCCAAACCTGGAAACAACCTAAATATCAATCTACAACAGAATGGATAAGTTTGTGATGGAGTTAATATAATGGAATATCATAAGGCAAAGATAATGAATAGACTACAGCTCTACAGAACAACATACATGAATCACATCAACAAAATGCTGAATGAAAGAAGACTGAAAGTTCAGATCCCATACTAGCCAGCTGCCAAAAAAAAAAAAAAAGCCTGAAACAAAAGAGTATATATACCATATAATTACATTTATATAAAGTTATTTTTTTTTAAATGGGCTAGCCAGTATGGGGATCCAAATCCTTGACCTTTCTATTACAAAGTTGTGTTCTAACCATGTGAGTAATCAGCCAGCCCATTATAAAGTTCTAATAAAAGTAACTTATGGTGTTAGAAGTTAGCGTAGTGGTTCCCTTTGCAGGGAAATAGTGATTGGTAGGGAACGTAAAAGGGATTTCAGGGATGACGGTGATAAACTTATGCTGTTTTCTTTTCTTTTTTTTAAAGATGACCGGTAAGGGGATCTTAACCCTTGACTTGGTGTTGTCAGCACCACGCTCAGCCAGTGAGCAAACCGGCCATCCCTATAAGGGATCCGAACCCATGGCCTTGGTGTTATCAGCAC